AATTGCAAAATGAAATTCTCTGTGAGGTAGCTGGGAACAGGAGGCAGCTTCAGCCTCTTCCAACTTACAGTAACCTCAGTGGGCATTACTACTCAAAAGAGGCAAGGCTCATTGGCGGGGGGGCAGCATTCTCTCATGGCAATGGCAAGGGAGAGCAGCCCTATTCAGGCCCTGAAAAGGGAGTTAACCTGAATGTGTGGGAGATGGAGAGTCCTCTCCTTGTCCTACCTTAGTTGTCATGAAGAGTGACAGAATGGGAAGCCCCTAATGCACATGGAGCTCCCTACATGCCAGAGAAGGATTTATGAGGTGCTGTGCTGCTCACATTTTGGCGCTACATTTGACTGAGCGAGCGTTTTGCACTTCCACTTCAAAGGATTGTTAAATCCTGCCTCTTCATTGAGCTTTGTGAGGATGATAATCGCAAAGATAGTGTAAAAATTGCAAAACCATTGAATCAGAAAAGAGTAGTATGTTTAAACAAAACAAATTAACATATGATTAGCCCCAAATAACACAGCAACATATGATCCATAATAAATTGAACTAGTACATGAAGTACAAATAGGGGGAACCTGGCTGGAAATGATGGTGGCCTCTTGAGATTCATGATACTGAGGAAAGGGGAAGCTGATGATCATTTTCACTCTACATTTCAAAAAGTTTAAGGAAATAGTGGGTGAGATTCCAGGATCAAAAATACTGAGAGAAGGAATAAGAATAATTTAAAAATCCTTTAAGAAAAAAAGGGAGAGGAATCTCAGGAAATGAGAGTAGTTGCATAAGAGATTTTAGATATGCTGAGATTTGAAAGGAAATGGAAGAAGGGGCAAGTCATCAAATAACTGTAGCAATTATTTGTAGGCAGGAAGCCAGGAGGGCTACTGCTCAGAATGCAGCCTTTCAAGAGAAGCTAAAAATATATACTATTTTGAAGCAAGAGAAAGAACTAAGGTCTTGGCCAGATAGAGCACCTCTTCCTCCCTGCTTTGTGCCAGTTGGTGCCACTGTTGTGCCCCTTAACTGTATATCATACCTAGGGTTTCTATTCACACTATACCACTTATCTCAAAGTATTAGCATTTCTTTTAAGAAATGGATTAAAACAAATATTTCAGAAACACTGAAGAAATCCTTTATAACTCTTTAAAAGCTTTAAAATCTTATCTGCTGAATACTTTTTCTCCTGTACATTAGCAAATTAGTACTAAATTGAAAGATTTTGATGGCAGCAGCAGTCTCCTGCTAATCCCCCTTGGAAATCAGCTGCCTTCAAAAAGGAAGCGCTTGAAATTTTGTTAGATTTTTGTATGTTTTCGGCTTTTGTTTTTTTAAAGTGAAACAGTCCTGAAATAAAAGAGCATCTGCTGCTGCCTGAACTCTGCCACTGGTACAAAGTGAAACAAACAGAACATCTCCTGGAGATGGTTTTAAAAGGGAGGGGGAAAACTATTTTTTGTCACGATTGGTCACAGCTGGTACTGACTAAAGCCATACATTGTAGCATAAAATTTTGGTATCAATCAATGCACACAAAAGTGCAACACCTGCTCTGACTGAATGAGCTCGAGAAGCAGGAGCAATGAATCTACTGCCCTCCAGCGTCCCTACAGAGAAGCACACTCATGTTTCTTCTAGGAATTTGGAGGAAGCAGCACCAGTGAGATACTGCTGGCACTTTCTGATGGCTTGACTTGCACAAGCTGTCATGAAGAAAAACAGATTATTGCTTCTTGCGATAACTTGAACTTTGTGAGGAGGAGAAGGAGGATAGATTCCTTTCCCTCCCAAACAAATGTTTTTAGGAAGCAGCAGCAAAGCACTGATGATGAATGATACAGTATCAGGAAAATTTCTACTCTTATGAGACAGACCACTTTTTCTTTCTTTCTCAGAGACCAAAGGCTGAAAAGAGAGATACTTTATGACAAGCTGAGTACTTCCCGTTGCAGAAAAGGTGACTGAGGTTGTTGAATCCCTGATAATGATAGGAAAAGGCTGATGGGAAGGAAAGGATGCAGAGAATGTGAAAGGAACATACAGTGGGGTCTTGACTTGAGAACTTAATCCGTATTGGAAGGCGGTTCTCAATTCAAAAAGTCTGTAAGTCAAGTCTCCATTGACCTACAGTGCATTGAAAACCGATTAATCCCGTAACAGGCCGTTTTTGTTCCATTTTGGTTTTTTTCTGGTCTGTAAGTCAAATCTCAGTCTGCAAGTCAAACCTAAATTTTGCGGCCAGAGAATTCTGTAACTCAAAAAGTCTGTAAGTCAAGCCGTCTGTAAGTCAAGGGTCCACTGTATCTAAAAGAAGGTAACCAAGGGAAAAGGTCTGAAATGCAAAGCAAGCCCTGTGAGCAATGCCTAAGGGAGATTGTTATGTTTAGCTTAGTAAAACAAGATTGAGAGGTGATATCACGGCCATCTTTAAATAGCTGAAGGGCTGTCACACAGAAGATGAACTTGTCTTCTGCAGTTCTAATGGATAGGACCCACAGTATTAGATGTGTATTCCTTTACTGCCAGGTGTTGTATGAGATGGCCCTTGATGGTCCTTTCCGACTCTACAATTCTGTCATTTCTGTGACTGTTTTTCCGCTGATCAAATTAAAAGGCCCTTCGCCTCATTTTCACTGTTTCTTCTGTAGCCCCATCAACTTGGTCTTTTCCTGCCTCACTTTGCTCCTACCTACATTACTTGCCTGATTGCTTAATTCAACTCTTCCAGATAGAAAACCTCTCTCCTGCTGAGTTTCTGTTTTTGGTTCCTTTCTCTTCATTCTACAGAAGTCCCTTGAAGACCCAAACTTCATCATTTTAAATAGCACTTGGTGGTAAATAGCATTCTCCCTATCCTATACCTATTTCTTTCTCTTCTTGCCTAGAAGTTAAGAAGTAAAGTAGTATCTAACCTAGATAAAGATAAATGGGAATATACCTTTAAACATCTATTAAGAATAATGATCAAGAAGTAGTTTGCTTTCAAATAAGAACATGATATCGTTACTGCAAAATGAGCTGGGCGTCTACATTGGAATACTATTAGGAAAATGGTTAACATAGAAGTAATTGCTAGCATAACCAGTTTATCTTCAGAGAGAAATTCAATATAGCCTGTACTACCGTACAATTGCACTCATTTCACACGCTAGCAAGGTTATGCTCAAAATCCTCCAAGGTAGGCTTCAGCAGTATGTGGACCGAGTACTCCCAGAAGTACAAGCGGGATTCCGAAGGGGCAGAGGAACTAGAGACCAAATTGCTAACATGCGCTGGATTATGGAGAAAGCCAGAGAGTTCCAGAAAAACATCTGCTTCATTGAGTATGCAAAAGCCTTTGACTGTGTGGACCACAGCAAACTATGGCAAGTCCTTAAAGAAATTGGAGTGCCTGACCACCTTATCTATCTCCTAAGAATCCTATACGTGGGACAGGAAGCAACAGTTAGAACTGGATATGAAACAACTGATTGGTTCAAAATTGGGAAAGGAGCACGACAAGGCTCTATATTGGCTCCCTGCTTATTTAACATATGCAGAACACATCATGCGAAAGGCCTGACTGGAGGAATCCCAAGCCGGAACTAAGCTTGCCGGAAGATATATCAACAACCTCCAATATGCAGATGATACCACTCTGATGGCAGAAAGTGAGGAGGAATTAAAGAATCTCGTAATGAGGGTGAAAGAGGAGAATGCAAAAAACGGTCTGAAGCTCAACATAAAAAAGCTAAGATCATGGCCACTGGTCCCATCACCTCCTGGCAAATAGAAGGGGAAGATATGGAGGCAGCGACAGATTTTACTTTCTTGGGCTTCATGATCACTGCAGATGGAGACAGCAGCCACAAAATTAAAAGACCCCTGCTTCTTGGAAGGAAAGCAATGACAAACCCTGACAGCATCTTAAAAAACAGAGACATCACCTTGCCAACAAAAGTCCGAATAGTCACAGCTATGGTTTTTCCTGTAGTGATGTATGGAAATGAGAGCTGGACCATAAAGAAAGCTGACCGCCGAAGAATTGATGCTTTTGAATTGTGGTGCTGGAGGAGGCTCTTGAGAGTCCCCTGGATTGCAAGGAGAACAAGCCTGTCCATTTTGAAGGAAATCAACCCTGAGTGCTCACTGGAAGGACAGATCCTGAAGTTGAGGCTACAATACTTTGGCTATCTCATGAAAAGAGAAGACTCCTCGGAAAAAACCTTGATGTTAGGAAAGTGTGACGGCAAGAGGAGAAGGGGATGACTGAGGATGAGATGGCTGGACAGTGTCTGCGAAGCAACCAACATGAATTTGGCATAACTCCGGGAGGCAGTGGAAGATAGGAGGGCCTGGCGTGCTCTGGTCCATGGGGTCATGAAGAGTCGGACACGACTAAACGACTAAACAACAACAATGCAGAAGAGTACTCTAGCCAAGTTTCACACAAAAGGCACCATGAACTTCAGGGAAGCTTTATTTGAGGCGAGAAATATTTTTAAAACAACAAAGAATAAAGTAAAAAACACAGAAGCACAAGCTTAGGACTGCAAGCCTCAGGTTACACTCTTTTTACTTTCTTAAAGAAATAATAATCATTCTGCTACATGTTCAGTGCACAACAAAAAGAAAAAAGTAGTTATAGTTCCATTGGCATGTGAAAACAGTTTTGCTTTGGAGAGCCACATTTCAGCAGTGGCCAGGAGTGGGTCTGCAAAGCTTGTAGCTAATGTACCAATGGCACCTGTTCTTGGATATGTCTGACTTGGCCAGAGTAATGCATGCCTGAGTTGCATCCTATTTAGACTACTATGACACTCGACATAGAGCTGCCATTGATACATCTTTGGAAACTTCATGTGGTCTAAAAGGTTACAAATAGCCAGGGAGTATGGGACATTTTTCTCACTGGGGTCTTGCTCATCCTTGGTGAGCTCAGGCCTGCGTAGTTTCCCATGACTGCTTCTGTAATTTCAATGAGCACCAGTTCTAAATTCAACTAAAGGATGTCGCACTACCTTGTTTCCTCAGTGGCCATGTAGAAAACATCATCAGGAGCATCAATCCAGTTCATCCTCCTCCTTTTCACTGGAAACATGGTTCCACCACGGATTAACCGGACTTTTGTTGGGTATGATTTCCCATTGAGCAGCAAGTTTCGACTTGGTCCCTAACACAACAACAAAAAACAACAACAAAACATGTTATAGGTCCTCAAAACAAACTAAAGCAAAGCTAGCAAAACAAACAGAGCCTGAAGAAAGCACCTCTGGGGAAAAAAAACTAATGATGTTTTCACAATACTCTAATGAGTAGAAAATTGTTCTTTTCCCCCTATTATAAATTCCTGTTCTCATGGGAGGTAGAAGGGGACTCACTACCCTTTGAAACATTCCTCTTTTTTACCTCTGTCTTGGAGGGGCCCAGCTCTCCCTGACTAGAGCAGCAAAGACCTGATCCCTATAAAGCTGGACAGGGAATGTAAGCAGGTGGGGTAAAAACACACTAAGAAGGCACATGAAGAACTACTGGAATCTCACAAAGAAAAAAGGACTACAAATGAAGAAATCTTCCCTATTTCCTTTTGTGTGCCTATGGTGAAGAAGAATGAGCCAGCCCTGCTCTCCAACAGATGAAGTATTGACTGACATGCTTCTCCTGGGAACAGGAATGAATAGTAAGGGAAAAAACACTGGGAAAAATCCAGTATTTTGATTTACAGTCTTCCTTTTAGCAGGTTCCGATGGTGGCTTACAAAAAATATCAAAATTAAAGTCAGATAAAATAAATAATAAAGTAAGAATTCTAAAACATTAAAATATAATGGGGCAGCATATAAGCAGCTGACATAACTAAAAACAAAAAGCAAACAGCATAAAAATAGAAGTTACCTACCTGTAACCATGGTTCTTTGAGTGGTCCTTTGTGGATCCACACAATTGGGTTATACTGCGCCTGCGCAGGACCTGTCGGAAACTTCTAGAGCTTAAAGATATGTAATTAGTGGGATGTTCCCTCATGGAGAACATGCTCTGCCCACCAAAGACCTCCTCAGTTCCCATAAGTCCGCCGCTGCCAGATATAAACTGAGATGACAAGTGACGGACAGAGGGGAGGATGGGCAGGATGTGTGGATTCACAGAGGACCACTCGAAGAACCATGGTTACAGGTAGGTAACCTCTCTTTTTTCTTCATGGTCTCTGTGAATACACACATATGGGTGACTGGCAAGCTCACTTACTGGTTGGTGGGACGTCACTGAAGTAAGGAGGTTAGGACAGCTCGTCCAAAGGTTACATCACTCTTTGGCCGAACGTTCAGACGGTAATGGGAGATAAAGGTCGATGGAGTAGACCAAGTGGCAGTACAATATATATGTGAAATGTCAATGCTGTGTTGAAAGGCAGTTGATGTTGAGACAGCTCCAGTAGAGTGTGCTCTAAGGGCTTCTGGGGCAGATTTGCCTGATAGTTCATAAGCCAAGGAAATTGCCTGTACAATTCACTTCGGTAGACTTTATGAGGATGCAGGTGAGCCTTTATGAGGGTCATGAAAACAGATAAAAAGTCTTGGTGATTTTCTGAAAGATTTTGTTCTGGCGATACAGAAAGCCAGGGATCGTCAGATGTTGAGCATGTGGAGCATGCGCTCAATATTCATCTGGGGAGATGAAAATAGTGTAGAATCAATGGTTGGTTAATGTGGAAATCGGATACAATTTTAGAGAGAGGAAACATCAGGATATAGGGTGACCTTGTTTGGATGAAACTGCATATAAGGAGGGTCTGATCTGAGGGCTGAGAGTTTGCTAGCCCTTCTAGCTAATGTCATCGCGACTAGAAAGAGGGTTTTTAGAGAGAGGAGCTTTAGGTTGGTTGTGGCCATAGCTTCAAACAGAGGTTTGGTGAATGCATTTAGGATGACTTCCAGAGACCATTCTGGGAGAATGGATCGCTGAGGGGGTCGCGTGTTGTGAAGACCCTTGAGGAACTTTTTAAGTGTCGGGTATGAGAACAGGCAAGCTGATTCAGAATTTGGAGGCTGGTATGCAACAATCGCAAAAATACAGACTTTTAGTGTGGAGTGGGATAAACCACGTTGAGAAAGATGTAAAAGAAAGGTGAGGAGGGTCTTCAAAGAGACTGGTACTGATATTAAGTTTTTGGAGGTGGCAAAGGAAGAGAATGATTTCCATTTTTGATTACAGAGAATCTGAGTTGAAGGCTTCCTGGCTCTATCAAGGACAGCCTTTATGGCGAGAGGATCCTCCATGCCATAAGTTTGAGAGACATTAGACCCGGATGGTGGATTGTCCCTTTGTCTTGAGTCAGTAAGTGAGGGATGGTTGGGAGGTGAAGATGGTCCGAGGAGATTTTCCTGAGTTGGATGAACCATGCTTCTTGGGGCCACCACAGAGTGATTAGAATGGTATTGGTGTGAGACTGACAAGAGTCTTATGATGGTCCGCTGAATGAGCAGGATTGGAGGGAAGAGATACAGGATGCTCTGAGCCCAGTCGATCATAAAGGCATCTCTGAGTGAATGAGTGCCAGTTCCTGCTCTGAAGCAGTATAGGTGGCACTCTGAGTTGTGGGAAGTAGCAAAAATGTCTACTGCTGGGGTTTCCCATTGGCTGCATAGCTGGTTGTAGATTGTGTCGTCTAGAGACCATTTGTGCATGGATGTGGTCATCCGGCTAAGGTGATCTACTAGTGAGTTGTCTTGGGTTGCTACGTGAACTGCCACGGGAAATATGTGGTGGGAGTAGCACCACTCCCAGAGTCTTACTGCCAGATACAGGAGGTGGAGAGAATGGGTACCCCCATGTTTGTTGACATAAAAAAAGTGCAGTCATATTGTCTGTGGCCAGTTGAATTGCCTGTCTGGAGATTAGTGGTTGGAATGCTTGAAAGGCTTTGATTATCACTAAAAGCTCTAAATGATTTATGTGCAGTAGCTTTTCTTTTGAATTCCACAGGGCATGAATCTTGCGACCCTGACAGTGTGCTCCCCATCCTGAAGGACTGGCGTCTGTTGTGACCTGAGTCGTCAGCTGAAGTGGAGCAAATGGTCAACCGATGAGCAGGTTCGGGTGGAAAGTCCACCACATAAGCTGATGGGAGAGTTCTCTTGACATAACTAGGAGTTTGGAAGGGTGGTCCTCTATGGGGTCGAATAGAGAGAGGAACCATGATTGAAGAGAGTGCATTTTGAGATGTGCGTGCTGAATGACTGCCGTGGTGCATGCCATGAGCCCGAGGAGGTGTTGGACATGATGAGCTGATCAGAGTGTAGAGGTCAAAATGGTTGAATGGCTTGTTTTAGTTTGCCTATCCTTTCTTGAGGCAGAAAGGCTTGCGCTTGAGAGGAGTCTAACTGGGCTCCTATGTATGTAGAAATTTGTGCTGGTTCAAGGCGCAATTTTGAAAAATTGACCTTGAGCCCAAGATCCGCTAAGAGGCTTAGTGTAAAGCGAGTGTCTTTCAATGTGCTTTGGTAAGAATCTGAAAGGATGAGCCTGTTGTCGATGTACAGAAAAACTGTGATGCCGTGTAGACGAAGGAAGGTGGCAACTGGGGTGAGACACTTGGTGAAAGTTCTCAGTGCGATAGAGAGTCCGAAAGGGATATCGCAGAATTGGTAGGCAGTGTCGTTGAAATGAAAGCGTAGAAATTTGTGATGTCGGGGATGGATAGAGATATGGAAGTATATGTCTTGTAAGTCTATGATGATGAACCAGTCTCCTTGAGAAAGAAGAGGGATAACGGTGTTAAGGGTAGTCATTCTAAACCACCTGTGATGAATGTAATTGTTGAGTTTTCGGAGATCGAGTATTGGGCGGAGGCCTCCGTCTTTTTTTGGTATGGTGAAGTAACGGGAATAAAAACCATTGTGGATATTTGAGTTTGGAACTGGAAGGACGGCACCTTTCTGGAGGAGAAGAAGTACTTCTTTGTGTAGGACTGTGGAGAATGGTGTGGTCTTTATATGAAAGGTGGCAGTTAATCGAAGTCGATAAGGTATCCTTGATTGATGATGGAAACAACCCAATAGTTCATGGCGATATGGGACCAAGAACCAAGAAACAGAGAAAGATGTGTCTAGAAGGTGCGGATCTCGGGCTTGAAGAAGTCAGGGATATAACGTGTTCCTCTTCTCCTGATGACGAAATGGCTGGTGTTGTTGTTGCTGTTGAGGTTGGGACCGAAAGTTAGGGCCCGAAGAGATGGATGGTGCAGAGTATGGCCGGTAGGAAGATTGTGATCTGTAGGGCTTGTATTGTGGCTGGAAGGGCTGGTGGACAAAGGGTGTCGATATCTGTATGTTTGTTGAGTCAAGTAAGACTTTGCCGTTATGTGAATCTTACATAAGTTGTCCATGACTTCGTCCGTTTTGTCGTTAAAAAGACAGGCACTGTTGAAGGGTAGGTCTTCAATACGGGATTTTGTATCATCTGAGATTTCTGCAGATCATAGCCAAGCGTGTCAACGTAAGGTGATGGAAGTAGCCATTGCTTTGGATGCTACGTCTGCTGTATGTCTGGAAGCTATGTGTTGTTGGAGGATTTGAGATGGATATTTAAAGCGTCTGATTTGGATTCTTCAGGGGCTTCCTGGAGAAAGGGGAGCGCATGTTCCAAACCTGGCACTGATAACCCCCGAGTGAGTAAAGCTGTCTCCCTAAAATGTTGAGTTTCCGCCCCTCTCTATTAGTCGGTGCCACGGAGGATTTGTTCTGGGCGTGGGATTGGTTTGACTCCACTATAATAGAGTTTGGAGTGGGGTGTTTCGAAAGGAACGAGGTGTAAGTGCCGTGTGTCTTACATTGGTTTTCTACTCTCCGAGAAATTTGGAGGGAGGATGGTGGCTTATCCCATGACTCCTTTACAAGATCTAGCATTGTAGATATGAATGCGAGACTTAAAGGGGGTACCTTATCTTGATTAATATCATCAAAAACTGTATATATTTTTTGAGATGGAGGCTCCTCTACAGCAAGTTCAAGTCATTCTTAACACCATCTGACTACAGGAGGTGAAGTCCTCTGAAGGTGATGGTGGGAGATTTTCAGCCACATCTGTATTTGGTGTGGGAAGGTTGGAAGGTGACTCCTGAGATGTAGTTGAGGAGAACTCATTATTAGAGGAGGAGGATTTTAAGAAGGAGAGT